TATTACTTGATGTTTTGCATTAAATAGATATTTATATATCTATTGATCTAATGATTTACTTGTTTATTTATTTTCCTTTTATCTATTTAATCATTCATTAATTCATATATATATATATATATATATATATATATATATATATATATATATATATATATAAAACTCTATCTATTCTTTATCTCATAGGATAAGAGGGAAGATCTGTTACCATGCGGATTAATGAACGACTTGAAATAAAAATGAGATTGAGCTTGAAGAGGTGGAAAACTTTTCCTGAGAACTGAACCGGATGGAAGAGGAACATGAAAAACTAAGTCTGGCTATTTTAACCACACTTATTTTAGCCCAAGTTGCGACGAATTCACAGGTAAGTTTGCTTGTTATAATGCCAGAGTGGATTTTGTGAGGTTTAAACATCAGGTCGGAATTGGGCTTTTCATTTGTTATATTACACTGCAATTTTGATGTGCATAAGGCTTGATGAAGATCGTTGGATCACTTCACCACCACATCCATTCATCAAAATGAGTTGATTCGATTGGTTTTTCTGCTCAGGTACTAGTCATACGCCCAAATGGTCAGCAATTATTGATGTGAACAATGCACTAGTTTTACCTAGATGATCAGGTTTTTAAGACGTCACATAGCAACAAGGTACAGATATGAGAGTGTCGTGAACTGTCTTCTTTAAATATAGCTTTAAATTCACATCATGAGATGATTTCGACAGCATCAATAACATTTCAGTAAATAATTGTAAAGAGTTGGGCAAAAGGAGCTATATTGCTTTATTCCGCGCTCTATTTTCGTCATTAAATCATGTAGATTCATTGAATAATTTGCATCAGGTGATTCTTAGTGGCAGGGGTGTTTTTTTTTAACATTAACATTTTGTTGGTGTAATGAATGTTTAATAACATCAGACTAGAAAATCGCTGATATAGGAACAGATCGGAATAACAATGAAATGGGTGCACTCAGGCTAATTTAATGCCTACTCTGAGTTCGATTCGGTTTTGGTCGAAAGATAATTTAGTGAAATGTAGTACAGTGCTTCAAATAAATTTGCGGAAAAAACATCCTAGCTTTTCGGTTAGCTTCAACAATTGACCACTAATGACGGCTAGTGAGGTGCCGTGGTCAAATGGTTAGGTCGCCGGACTGTCGATCACAAGGTCCGCGGTTCGAGACCCACCGCGGCACTAATGTCCTTTAGCAAGACATTGATCTACATTTGCCTTTACTCAACCCAGGTGATGTAAATGGGTACCTGGCTGGAATTAATTCTTTGAAATTGAAATGACAGAGCGCCGTAATGGCAACACAGCTAAAGCCGGGGTAATAATCTCAAAGTTTGGAAGTGCTTAGTGATTGTAATAAGCGCTATATACAAAAAACTGAGTATCATTTGTTTCCTTCAATTTGCCAAGTACATGTAATCATTGACATTTACCAGGGTTGAGAGTGACATCTGTTTATAATAAATGGTCGTTCAAGGTCTACGCAACCGAATGTTCAGTCGCATACAAAAAAAAGAAAACATTCAGTAGCTGTGATCTCACTTTTGATGTTATTTAAAAGACAACTAGGACGAGATAGGAGATGTCAAAAATGTTAGAGATGTGAAAATCCAAATCGGGTTAGAGAGAGGAAGCAGGAATAATTCGTTCACTTTGAAATGTACCAATCATGTTTATTACCACTTTTGTTATTTAGAAGGACCGTGGGCATACCAAATGAAATGTCATTTTATTCTCCATCTATACTGATGTTATATGCCATGTATCTCGTCCAAGATGAATCTTGAATAGAATTTTATCCCACGTCTACGATTTATCGTTACGAGTGACATTCACATGATGGGCCGTCAGAATTGATTTATAAGATCTTTATGAGCAAGGTGTATTTCATTATCAAACAAATCCCAGGGAACACATAGTAATGCTGGCACAAATTAACGTATAATGAATGGTTAAATGTCAAGTATCCAAGGCCAAATGTATTGCAACAGAAGCTCGGCATCAGTAGCATTAGATTGGATGTCACATGTAAACATGGGATAGAAGTTGAATCCTTACAGCGAGTACATCCAAGCATTCATTACAAGAGGATATCGATTTGAAGCTAGGGCAGAATCTTTATCGAAAAACAGGCTTCTTATTATCGTTTTCAGCGAAGTGATCAAATTGGAAATAGAAATATCGCTCCGTGTTCTAGACAAGAACTGTGCTACGAGTTTTTTCTTACGAGTTTCACGAGTAGGGAAATTGTATTGTAAGAAAAAGATAAATAGACCAAACCAAACCGAACTCATTAAACTTTAACTGATCAAAACAATTCAGCGAAAACAAAAACAAAACCAATGCAAACAAAAATTATGGGGCACTGTTGTATGTATCTTGATAAGTAACAGTGGATCTTAGTTAGAATATGGCATACAAACGGTGACTGTTCATGACATACCTCAAAGTCATGATTATTGTGATAATGTTTAAATGAATTCTACGAAGGTTCTATCATGATGTAATCACATGGCAATTACTAAACATCTGTTAAGTTAAAAAAACATGGAAAACTTACATACCATGTTCAACGATTGCACGCCGATGAAGGACGTTTGTTTGCATTATGAGTTAACCTTTCCAGCAGACGACTATCTAGGTCTTACCATCATCTTCGGCTACAATCTTCACTGTCGAGTCTGATTTAGTTGATGGCTGGAAAATTTGGTTTATTACTCCAGAATGGATGTATCTAATCTCGTCTCATTTCCGAGTTTGACAATTACTGAGCAGTTATTGACGTAAACCGAATCATGTCCAATTTTCTATTTCATGAACGGTGTGCTCATAAATTTTGGTTTCCAAACGCAATATCAATTCTGAAGCAATATTAATGCATTGTCTGTATAAATTGATAATATTGGCGCGCTATCACAGTGAAAGACTCTGAATGGGCAGAATATATAATCTTAAATTGTTCTAAGTTTTAAGCTCCTTATGCATTTATCTTGTAAAGGTGTTTTTATCGATTTTAACTTCGATCCTTTCATGTTTGGACGAAAAATGCAATATTGACCTGACATTTTCAGAATCCCGAGATGAAATCGATTAGGCCCCTGGTAATTACACCAATATCTAAAAGGTGAGATAGTTATTGTTCTCTCCTTGTGAGTTTGGCAAAGACCAGTAGAACGACAGAGCCTTTAACCTTTCATAGTAAGAAAACACCAGCACCTTTTAGCAACTTGATCTTCTCATTGTTTGATTAAGCCAAAGTACGAGGATTCAATTAATTTGTCAATGTACCTAATAATATAAATAACAGAAAAATCAGCGTAGTTTCTTCACACAGATACAGTATTGTGCTTTAGTAAACATGTGATAAAGGCCCCATGTACCCTACTCCCTCCCCGAAATAAAAAGGGCCTCTATTTATCTACAGTGTGTATGAAATTGGAACTCACCTAACTTCCATTCACATAAGGTGAAACAGAGGGGAAATAGGGAGAAATAACAAACAGACAAATGTAGACAGAGAGTCAGGCAAACCGACGGAACTTGACTTGAAAGTGACGGGTTCAGAGAGAGAGAGAGAGAGCCTGAACACAATCGCAATTACTTTCGAAAGTTCAGCTGAAGGGTAATTTCAATACCATATTGTTTGTCCCCCCCCAAAAAAAATCACATTCGGATTACGTAATATGTCACGTATGATCTCAAATTTTAAAAGTTGACGTACAAGACCATTGGAAATGCCTTTAAGTTAATTTCCCAAAATAAGTTGCGATCATGTTATATTTTATATTAACCCGTTGGCTACTGAATTATCTTATTCCCATAGGCTTTACACATGGACCACCAGGTTCCAGTAAACAATGGGTTAAGAGGTTTCGAAAAAGAAGAGAGAAGCAATAATGAGGAGAAGTACGGAAAGAGAGAGAGAGAGAGAGAGAGAGAAGTTAATAGCGTGTGTGGGTTGGTGTGTGTACCTGCGTGTTTGGGTGAGTATCTTAACATGAGGAAATTGAATAGTATGATGAATACAGAAGGAACTAGAGAGCCAGAACCCAACACAGCAAAATATAATAAGCTAACAAGGTAATAGTATAACAAAATAAATCAATCGACCGTCTCTATGAGCTCTTCCGTAAATAACCCATTGCCTACTGAAACTCAATGTATCATGTATTAAACATCAGAGAAATGTGATAATTTCGTACCCAATAGGTAATGGTCATTGGTGACGTAACGAGAAGTAATCTTCGGATCGGCTTTTAGGCCTATACCTTTTAACAAAAACGCCTACACGAATCACGTACACTGAACGCATTCAATCTAGCACCCACCTACACCAAACGTACTGAAGTTATCACCCACCTACATGCAATCGCATTTAATTTGCCACCCATCTGCACCAAGCATACTCAACCTGTCACCCACCTACACCATACACACTCAGTATGGCACCCACCTACACTATACACATTCAACCTGTCACCCACCTACACTATACACACTCAATCTACCACCCACCTACACCATACACACTCAATCTACCACCGACCTACACCATACACACCCAATCTACCACCCACCTACACCATACACACCCAATCTACCACCCACCTACACCATACACACCCAATCTACCACCCACCTACACCATACACACCCAATCTACCACCCACCTACACCATACACACTCAATCTACCACCCACCTACACCATACACACCCAATCTACCACCCACCTACACCATACACACTCAATCTACCACCCACCTACACCATACACATTCAATCTACCACCCACGTACACCATACACATTCAATCTGTCACCCACCTACACCATACACACTCAATCTGTCACCCACCTACACCATACACACTCAATCTGTCACCCACCTACACCATACACACTCAATCTACCACCCACCTACACCATACACGTTCAATCTGTCACCCACCTACACCATACACACTCAGTATGGCACCCACCTACACTATACACATTCAACCTGTCACCGACCTACACCATACACACTCAATATACCACCCACCTACACCATACACACTCAACCTGTCACCCACCTACACCATACACACCCAATCTACCACCCACCTACACCATACACACCCAATCTACCACCCACCTACATCATACACACTCAATCTACCACCCACCTACATCATACACACTTAATCTACCATCCACCTACACCAAGCGCACTCAATCTGGCACCAACCTATACCAAACGCACTAAATTTACCACTCACCTACACCTAACCCACTCCATATACGCTCACCTTCATCACATGTATTCAATTTGGCACCTTCTTGTCGTCTCTTTTTTCTCTTTCTTGGTGACTGGTCACCTCTGAAAATTAAATTCACACCGATAATGCGATGAAACAATGAACGCATTTGACTGACAAGTATTTTTCATTTATTTTCTTCTTTTTTCGTCATTGTGGAGGATAAATCGAAAAGGCATTTTCAATACGTAAAGACGGTTTGCAAGTAATCTAAATTACAACAAAGCTACGCTTAAAAGAGTACTTGTATTGGACCGTAATGCATGAATTTCATATACACAATGGACTCAGCCGGCGTACATTATTTTCATATTTGTCGTAACAATAAGTTGTTGGAATGCGTAATTCGAAAATAAGACAAAAATAGTTCCGTTGATTCTATCTAAAACTGTAAAATTAACAATATTATGAAAATGCAGTTAGTAACATGTTTTAGAATGTGCACCAAATCAGACAAAATTGGTCACGAGCGATTGAATGATTATTATTTCTATATAATTGATTTTTTTTTTAAATAAGACTTTTAGAGCAACACCATTTATGTAGTTATAAGTAGACAATATTAAGAATAATACAGATTTATTAAATTGTTAAACTTCATATGTGACAAATTGGGGAGATAACTATGCCTCTACCTAGCCCATGTCTTCAAAACAAAAATCAATATATAATTATTAGATTGGTTTCCCTGGGCGACAAAAGACGCATGTTTTGCAATTATATATTGGTAAGCTTATTCTTTTATCACATTCTCGTTTTTGTTTATATTGTGCAACAATTACTATTTCAGGTATCAACAGATAATTGATGAGATGCATTCCAAACGGTGCTAGATCCACCTTTATTGTTTATGAGTCGATCAAAGATTTTGAATTGATCCCTTCTATTGTAAAGTTTCCTCCAAAAAATGTAAAAATGTTAGGGTTATTGCCTTACATGATTGTTCTCACCTTTAAACAAATCTTGCAAAGAATTATATTTTTCATGATATTTGAATGATTTTAATTGATGTGGAATTAGCCCCCTTTGGAATGAAACTGCGGTCGACAGTTTCTTTTGTGTAAGTGTAATCAATTTTGGCGTTTGAAACCCTTTTATCATTTTATAATTTTGTTCCCATTTTGTTATTGAAAGTAATTTAATAAAATGGGTTTTCCTTTAGAAAAATACTTTCACATCTGTCATTAAAAGACGAGCTTAATCCAAAAGTATTTGCTGAAATAATTTAAATATATATAATCAATTTTAATTTTGCAGTAGTCGTCTAGACTAGTAACTGCACCATATACAGCAAACATCTTAAAACTTAGCTTTAGGAAACGTCGTTTAAATTTGGCGCATATTTATTATCACCATAATGAATTTAACTCTTTCTGGAATGAAACAAGCTATCCAGATATTGTTATGGTGTACTAAAATCTGAAAACATTTCAATCCTCTTATTCCAGGTATATACAGTGAATTCACAAAAGGGAATGAGAGAATTAAAAAACAAACCACTGTAACGGTGAAAATCTGGATTTGATATATGATTGCATTATATTCGATTACGTCAGTGGTGGGGGTGGCACTCTTTTGGTTCATGTATTTGGTTGCTAAATTTAGATTATGATTAAGATGGACAAATGCGCTTTATCAAATACCTTTTGGATCGGATTTTGGATTGGATTGATTTGTAAGCCAAACATCGTAAATGTAATTACATACAATCAAGCAAGATGATGTCAAATGTATGTTTCCTCGTACCCAACAATAAATTTGAGAGAAAGTTTCGTATGAAATGTAAGCTCATACAGTGATAGTTGCCCAAGGAGCCTTCTTTCTTATTACATTTGGTAAAGGCTAACATCATTGAATTTTCTTCCAAACATCTATTAAAACAAAAAAGACCCTGCAGAGAAATTTATTTTAAGATTTAAAAGAGCAAAATGTATGAGTTTTACATCATGTTACCAATGTTTAGACTGCATATAGCTAATCTTCAATCCAATTGTATTCAGAAACCACATAAGTATTTGCTCAAATGCTCACGTGGTGCTTTCTATCCGTACGTATGCATTTTGTAAGTATATTATTAACACATTGAGTACCGTAAACATTAATTAGTTTTTTACATTTGTATCGGTGGTTGTGAGAAGCTCAAACCTTATATAGTATGCTTAATCTCCATAGGGTTTAACTGAAGGTTTGCAACGTTAGAAATAATCGTGGGCATTACTGAATGTAATCGGAGGTCATTCTTAACTACATATCTTGAGCATATTAATTATGAATATTTCCTCTACACATTAACTTTTCCAATAGTTTGGTCATGCTTGCCTAAACATATCATTTTCATTCCACAAATATTTCATACCCACAAATGACTAGCACCCCTGCTAACCGCTTTCAAATTAGGTTTTGCAAAACTCTTCATGTCCTTCTTTGCTGCAACCATTGTTCTTTCAATGGTTGAAGATTAAAAGAGGTATTGAAATAATCCTGAATATGTATTCGGTATAAGCATTGGGGAACTTATTTTTTTTACGTTTCCTAATAGCCACATGGTAGTCAGTGTCCGTATGGATTGCATCATACCTATCTGACACCAGATTTGGTTGAATAACCAATTAATATGTCTTTATGGGCACAGGTCTCTGAAGCAGCTAAATAATTGTCCCACTAGAAAATACTCCAAAATGCCCTGTTAGGGATAAGGGAAATTCGATGATGAAAATTCCTTATGTGAAATGCTAGGGCACATTGCATTAAATAAGACCTGTTGGTCGTAAAAAAGAAGTCCATTCTATGGTGATGGGCAACATCTGTTTTAGGTAAGCATTTCAATGGTGTCAAATTCCCCATGAAAATCCAATACTATGAGCCTTTAAAATGTGTTATAACGGAGATACATACGTTTCCCATCATGGAGCTAGTGCTTTTTCAGGACATATCAAGTGAATCAAACACAAGCTAACAAGACGATGAAATAGAGCAAGAGAGGACATAATAAAACTAACCGTCCTTTAAGCTAACAAGAGCACTAATATACGAGATAAAGTTATACTCATAACAAAAATAGATGCACCAAAAGCAAATTATATATATTTCTTTCAATGTTCATCAGTAAATATACATTCAAATAGCCGTAATAACTATTTACATACGAAAGCTTCTTTAGTTATACATATTGCAATTATGTGATAGTAAAACATAAATTGGTTTCGATTCCCGTTTCGTGTTTTTTTTTTTACCGTTTTCCACGTACGTAAAATACATTCACAGTGTAATATAATTAATCAAAAATTTAAATAACAGTCTACTGAAAAATCTTCAAAGAAATCAGGGAGAAATGGAGGATTTTACATATTACCAAACAAATTTTGTCGGTTGCGTGAGTAGAATAAAAATATAATTTTTAGCAATTTGCATTCGCGAATATATTCACAAGGTCGTGTGGAATTGTGTTACCTATTCTCAATATCGACATTGAAAAAAAAGAGAGTTTTATATGATTTGTTCCTGAATGACCCGCTGTTAATCATCAGTCAAGGGCATTCCTGTCCTTTCCAGTGTCCTTGCTGAGCCTCCCCTGGATGTTCCTTCATAGTATTGCCTCGCCTGAAGAAAGAGATAGAAAAAGAACAAAGAATATATTTACATAATCATCAAAATAACCTTACTAAATGCACAAATATGCTATATTTGGGGTTTGAATTTTCAATGTTTTAAAGTGTGTATGACAAATTCTTCTTGATTCGCCTAAATTCGTGGTCATTTAGGTTTGTTTTACATGTCTCAATGAATGATCTTTTCTTCCTCAAATTAGCAACATTATAATTATTTTCAAAATCTGTTAAAATTTAAGTTAAAATGATTATTAAATGGAAACTTTGAATGAAAACAAACAAAATCCATTAAATCGCTCTTGAACGGCATAGTGCACGGAGATAGACTCAAATTTCCCAGTAATTTCGGCAAGTTTGCTTTTCCACAATTTATACTTCCGGGTATTCTAGACCAAAACATATAAATAAAACGTCAATTTAAATTTGACACCAACCTGCTATGGGTTAAACGAATCAACAACATAGAATCAAGGACAGACAATAACTTGTTAAAATTTAAACCCTGGAATACTGTAGTCAAAGCAATTTTGTTAGACAAAAATGCAAAAATTTCCAGTATCCGTTAAACTCACTCCTAATATAGTATGGTAATGTTACATTTTGATATATTATGCTCAGATCTTTTTGTTTACATGTTTCTATATAGAAAATGTTATCACAATTTCAAATATGACAAATAGAACAAATCAGTCCTACATTAAACTTAGCGACAAAGTGATATCAACCCGAAAAAGCTTAATTTAAACTTAAAGGTGCCATGTTGTTAAAGACTCCGGGATGATATCTAGTTAACCAGGTTTACAGATCAGAAGTAACGATACTCTATATCGGCGTGGCTTGATAACAAAATGGCGGAAAAACAAGAAGAAGAGACGCATTACCCTTTAACATTAGTTTGCATTGAATTTCCAAATGCCTGTCAGTGCCGCCTTTGAGGGGTTAAAAAGGGACGGGCTCGGATTGCCAGTCCTTTCTTTTTGCACCCATTATTAAGAGAATAACAATGTAAAATAGCCCGGTAGTGACAGGTTTTTAACTTGATAGTCTACCGCCTAATGGAGGACATATCAGTAAGCCCGACAACTAGTTAGACGAACATCCTTTACAGTGCATGTAGGTTGATCTTTAGAGGGACGTTCCCACTGCTAGATCACACACGTTCACACTACCAAAGTCACGTGATCGGAATAATTTGATAATTGATTACTAAATAACACATAATGTTATCAAAAGCCTCAAATTGTAAATTCACGCTCACCATGGAAACAATAATTTCATAGGGAGAGGAAGGGAAAATTATTCTAGATGTCGCATGGAACATGTCGAAAGAACCGCCCTCCAATTGTAATGCTATAACCTGATGAATATATATATATATATATATATATATATATATATATATATATATATATATAAATGAATGGTGAAATCATTGTTGATTTAATGTGAACAGTATTTATTTCTGCATATCGGTTGTTTAAGAAGCTTTAAACAGAATCGTTGATGCATTGTTTTCTCACCTTATCTGTAAGGCCTACTTTTAAAGGTTTTATATAGTGTTTTTTAAATAAAATTGACGTCTTCATTAATATCTTAAGAAAAAGATGCCCCTATCCCCCTTTAAAAAAAATTGTTTTCTTGTAATTGACATAATTTTTTTCTTTAAATGTTTAATTCTTTTTATTATGTTTAATGAAACTTTTTTTAAATTTATATTCAATGAAGTTTGATTTCTTTTATTAATTCCTTAATATCCAGTGGGAAGTGCCGATAAGAAGCACTACTCTACAATTTAATTAACACGTCAGATGAGTAGAGTTTGACATTGCTAGTAACATCATCTGATGTTTGTTAGGGGTCTAGTTTCAAGTTGACCCCAATATACCAACTTGTTCTAAAGACGCCATTTAATTGATAAATGTGTTCGTTAAGAATCCAGGTTGAACCAGGAAAACGTAACTGCTGCGTGACAAAGAATTCAGGCATTCTGGTATTTTGATACAACTTAAACTACTTAGAGAAATTGATTTTCCAACGCCTTCGGAAGTGACTGGTACCATTCCCTTGTTTGTTCAAGATAAAATAACACTCAATTGATAAACTCACAGCCTTCCATCCCCTAAATCAGATCACCCTTTCTCTCCTTCATTTTAATTTAAGTATTGGTTTGGTATTCCTGTCCCAAACGGATTTGCAATTTCATTATACAAAAGCCGTACCTATATCATATTCAGTTGATTATGTATACATGTGTGTATTACACCATGCCACAGGCACTTTTGCAATTGTCGGAAACATTTGCTCAAACGTTGCCCCGAATAACGCAAATAAAAATTCAAAAAATGATATTCAGTTTCAACACAGCAGATTTGTGGAATTGGTATCGAGTGCTCTCATTAAACACCGGGTTAAAAGTACACTATGTACCTTGTGAAACAACATAATATGAAACTTATACAAAACACACACAGGTAAATGCAATATGAATTGAATTAAATTGAATTGACAAGGTTTATAAATAACAATTCAAGTCACAGCTAAAAGCTGACGCATCTTGAATGTACAAATACAACTGCAACATATGAAACACAATGCAAATAGTAGAATAAAAAATAGACAAATTAAACAGACATTCGCTAGTGAAATTATATAATAAAATACATTTAAAAACAAAGAAAATTAACAAGAAAAACAAGAAGGAACAGAAAATAAATGAAAAAATAAAGAAAGAAAGAAAGGTGGAACACTGGTTGATAGTAAAATAAGAGTTTATAATCGATATGTTTGTAATACCAGTAATACAATTCAGTAATAAAATAATTCCAGTTATACAAATAATGTCTTTACTAAGAATACTAGTGGTTCCAATTGAAGTTGAGGTGAATGGTCTACATCTCAACATGTCAACCAATTGTGAACACAAATTGCTATGAAATGTTAAAGAATAAACTGTTTGACCAATGAATTTTACAGACATGATCATTTGGATTTGGCCATTACTGTCTCTGCAAGATTGGCAAGCATAAGTTGTAGAGGTATCGTGAACTATTGAATGGCGTCAACGGGCTGTAGGCCACATGGTTTGCGGTTCGAGTCCCGCCGCGGCTCTAATGTTCTTTGCCAACATTAATCTACATTTACCATTTTCAACCGAAGTGGTGTTTAATGGGTACCCGGTAGGATGAAATTATTCAAATGCCAGAGCGATTTATCAGAGTAGGTCGGCTAAAAATAATGGCTCAGCGCTAAGGAACATAAATATCAAAAACTGTAGTTACTAATATTATAATAATCTATGACGTATGTTTGTAAATAAGTATCGTCAACGCGGTGTTGCATTTTATTTAGACTGGGTTGAAATTCCCCTAAGACGGAGTGATATCATCATGCCCATTTGTATCAATTATTCTTTGGTATAAATATTGAAAATAAAATGAAAATGATTTAAAAAAAAAAAACGCGCCATTATTTTGCTCAGCCCTAAATCCTTTACGAATGCCACGTCTTTTGTAACTGTGAAATGGTTTTAAAAAGCCAATTTTAATACATACTGAGAGCATTCGACATACCGAATTAATGAAAGTGCTTACAGTTGATGGCCTATTTCCATATTGTTGACAGAAAGTAAAACCTTCTTCTAATTTGTTAATGATCTTTCTGCTTTGTATTGATGGCATCATTGCACAGACACACCCTTTACGTGTCAACCCTGCACAACAGTCTCCATGTTGCATTCTACCTCCCCTTCTACCATCTTCCAACGCAGTTTCTACGAAAGACACTTGTTGCTTTCTTCCAGCGACACCAATTAATATACTCCGTGTTGCGCGGTGGTTAATACGGCGGTAGGCCCTCTCTTCTCCAATTTGAATGATTAAGAGGGTTTCTGGTAAAGGTTGCCTAAGGTAAGAACGAAACTCCCGACATCGCTTAAACTCGTTGAGAGAAGGACACGATAAATGGAAGGACAGAATTAGACAAGGGTGTCGTGTTGATAATCAAATACCTATCTAAAATCTTAGCTTTTTCCTTGTTAAGGCGGTGTGGAATTTTCATGTTAAGTGCACACCGCCAAAAAAGCTTGGTCCCTCGCTAATGCATTAATTGTGAAGCTGATATAAAGATTGTGTTTACCATGCAAGTGAGTGATAAAACCATTTATTGTTGTCATTTGCTCATTTTGTGTGTATGCTGTTGATAAACGCTAAGGATCCAGTCAAACCATCAATAATATGAAAAGTGGCCTGGAGAAAAAATAACTCCAAAAACGTTCCAGACAACAACAAGAAAAATGGCATGTGATATAGACCTGGACGTCTCGTTGCTTGTTTAAACTTTGTTCGTATTGTTTGTTTCATTGACAGCGAGTTTCGAAGATAGGGATAATCATTACGATGTCTGGTAGTGAGAACACAACACTTGTTTTATTTTTAGAAGAGGAAATGAGTATGACCCGTACTGGAGGGGAACGATATCTTCCGGTAAACATCAAAGAGTAAGTGAAAGGGACCCTATCGTTAAATCATTTACCCTATAAGGTGAGATGATTCAGGTTACGTCATCTTAGATTACATATCCCAAGATTCCCTCACCATCATTCCCTGGTTTGATCGAGTATTTCTGACTTCCGGACACCTCAGGTGAACCATTGTATATCATTCTCCTTCACACCGTGTCGATTCCTTACTTAACCTCCCTTGACATATAATTTGAAATTCCCAAAGACATGTTGAATACATGATCAATGCGATCATGATTCACGGTTTCATTAATATTCTTTAATGAGTAAAAGACAATTTGACCGGTATCATCCCTCATTCTAGTTTCTAACGTGATTCCATCATTCTGAATTCCTTTCTTTTTTCAAGAAGATGTACGAGGGCAGTATAAGACACAGTCGGACTCATGAACAGTTCCTCTCACTCAATCACAATTATTCAACACTTAGGGAACCATGTTTCGGCCAAATCGATTTTTTTTCTTCTTCTAAATTCCCGGTGTAGGCAATATAATCGGATCCACACGGGGGGGAGTTAGCTGTGGCAAACCCACCTACGAGAGCCCTGCAATATATCTGTAGTTTCATATGTAAGAGGTCATTTTCGACAGTTATTAAGTCATTTAGGAAAAAACGGTATAGAAACTTACAAACACGAGTTAATTACGCATGTGTATGTCAAATCTAGCCATTTGTCTCACGATCATTTTTGTACGCGAAAGATAAAGTTTTCATGATTTGAATAAAACTGCAAAGCTTGGTTTGCCAAACAAATAATAAAGGTTGGATTGGTATAGGGTTAGCATTAGAGTTAAGGTTAAGACAAGTTGCAGGTTAAACGTTTTACCAAGGTAATTACCGCACATCGCTATTTTCTAATTGTTCAGGCTCTTGTTGCTGTTATGCAACATTTCCATGGAATTGTATAGGAATGACCCATGTTCTAATAAATATTTAAATCCAGTGCTTTAGAAGCTAAACCTGGATCTAAGTTTTCTATTCATATAGTCCTGATCTAGATGTAACGTTTGTTCTATATTTACATAGTCCTCAACTAAATGTAACGTGTGTGTTATCTGCGAGTATAAACAGTGAACATTGATAAAACCCCGAAC